ATCATTTGCAGAATTATTTTAAGCCAGAGACACTTTACATGGTATCTTCAATAACCTTACAAGTATTCAGTTATTTTCCCCACTTATTTACACATGGGGAATTAGGTGTGAAGCTTTTTTCCATTGTACCAGGAAGCCTTCAGTGCTTTGAATTCTCACTGGGCTAGTATTTGATGCAACCCTAAGTATTTCTTCTTCTGTTTTCTTTTGTAGCTGTATTGTTTTTAAATGAAGACAACCCATGAAAATTAAAGCAATTTCTGTACTGTCAAAAGAAAAAAAAAATTTGAAAAGATGGGAGTAACTATTTGCAAACAATATTACAGAATTTGTGCTACTGGGCTAGAAAACAAAGGACTTTTGTTTATCAGTGGAGAAAGGGACAAATGATAACAAATAATTTTATGTACGCTTTTTATGTAAAAGCAAAATGCTTCTCCAGTACACATCTGGAAAGATGCCACACCGCATTAACTGAAGAAATGGCAATCTGGAGATGTTGTAATAAGTTAGTGAAAAAAATCAATTTGCAGAAAATTATTTATGTGATTGCAAATTTTTAAAAGTGTGTATCTATAACCACGTAACTACACAAATATTTTCAGGTAGGTGTACACGTTACCTAAAGAGAAACACCTCTGGAAAATGTGCACCAATCTATTTACATTGGATATCTTGGATATCTGTGAGTTGGGGTGAGGGGATCATACAGACGGAAGGTGCAGAATGATTTCATTTTCTAAGTATACGTTTTTAATGTTTAGCATTTTGTGATTAGGCAAATTTGTTGAGAGAAACACTTGAAAACATCTAACAGACGATTCACGAGAAAAGTTCACCTATACTTACCATGTTATGGAAATGTTCACACGATACTGTTTAATTAGCAAACATAAACTTCAGCTTTCGACTTGACAGTTTATCTGTGTGTGTGTGTGTGTGTGTGTTTCTGTCTTACACTTCCCTTACCCCCAAATGTTCACACTCTCATGTGCCAAGTTTTCTTCACCTCTCTCAGGGACTGAATTTTCTCTCTCGGGGCATGGAGATCCAGGAAGGGATTGTGGGCAAAGAGTAGAAAATTCCAGAAAGTAGTGGAAAATTGCAGAAAGTTCTGGCTAATGCACTGGAGCCCAGGCGCCTCCCTCCTTCTTTCTGCCTTGCAAAGCGCTCTGGTCTGAAACTTTCAGAGCTACAGTTCTGTCTCTGACCACTAAGGGGCATCTACCTATACTGACTGTTTTTTGGTAAAGGAAAAGGCATGATTTGTTTCATTCTACTCTCATTACAGTGACCCACCAAACTCTGTTTGCTATTTCCTTTTTAGTTTCCAGGTCTGCTGTGTGTGTGTGTGTGTGTGTGTGTGTGTGTTGTTTATGTTTTATTTTTGTTTTTGTTTTATTTGGTGGGGGAGGGTAAGTTTGTTTGCTATTATCTCTCTGGAATGAGTTGGAGATAATGCCAGCCATGTGATTATTTTCGGAACATTCTTTTATTTTGCTCTAACTTAAGAAAAAAATAAAATCCAACATATTGCAGCAAGAATTTAGTTAGGCTACACATGCATGGACATGTCACCGCCATTCCATGGAACTCAGTTGCAGTCTCTGTTTCTCCAGGTAGCATCTGAATGACTCCAAACAAGCTCCAGCACCTCATTAAGCTGCAGCAAACTTGCAAAGCTGGTGACTGTGATATCAGAGTCCCCTTGTGAGGAATCCACGACAGAGCAGATGCAATGTAGCAAATCCAAGGCCTGGCCTATAGCTGATACTCAGAGTTCTCTGGGTTTGCAGAATGAGGGAACAAGATGTATTGCAGTGGATACAGAGCCTGGCATACAGAGTTCCTTGTGTTTGTGGCTGCAAGTACCTGGGTCCCACCCCTCATGATTCTAGTTGGCCTTGTCTGCAGGGCTGATTCAGTTGGAAACAATTCCCTGGTAGGCTGGTAACAAATTCAGGGGACAGGAATTATATGAAGTAAAGCCTCCTCTGGTGGCAGCCAAGGCTCTCTTCTCCATGCCTTTGAGGAAGGGACTTCCTGTAAGGATTCCGTCTTGTTTGTGTGACACTGACAAAGTGGTTTGTGGCCTGCTCTCACCTTCCTCAGCAGCTGTCCCTGATCGTCTCCAAACCTCTGGCTCCAGACCTCACGGATTCTCTTCACAAGCAACCTGCGAGGACACTGGTGACGGGCCACTGCCTTCGGTCCACACCATGGGTGAGTTGGTCAGCATGAGGCCTTGGTCTCAGATCCCCAGAGGGTACGAGGGGTTCTGGGTCCCTTCCCCCACCCCACCCCACCGGACACCCAGCCAACCCCCATTTAGAGGAGGGGTGGAGAGGGCCCAGGCTGACTATTATTCCACTCTCTTGAGGAAATGGGCCAAGTGAGCCCTGACATTCCCATCCTGGTTCCACATGGAAAACCTCCTCTCCTATGGAAGTGGTCATGGCTGAGGTGAATTTTTTTTCACTGGTTGAGGGGATAGACCTGACTTATGTGGTCCTCACAGGTCCAGCCTTTGGAGAGTGGGGAGGGTCTCCTAGGTTGATGGGGGTGGGAGGCAAAGGGGAGGGGGGGTGGTGTAGATTAACATTCTTTGGATGCCTACTAGAGGTGGGGGAGGGGCAGAGAACCCACCATTACCCTTGACTCTTATATCAACTATTTCGGGTAGATTGTATTACCCCCAGAGACGATTCTTGAGGTTTGCCTTATAGCCCAGCATATGACCGATTCTGGAATGTTCCACGTGTAGTGTTTATGTGCACTGTTCCATGCCAATTAAGTAAATTTGTTAATTTACTTAATTCTCATTTTAAAATCTCCACCTAGTGGAATTTATGTCTGCCGTTTTATGTGTCACTCAAGGAGGTGTGTTGCCACATTGTAATCGTGAATTTATCCATTTCTCCTTTTACTGTCATTGCTCGCTTTGCACGTTTTGGCTCTGTGTTAAGACAAGCACACCAATTTAGAATTTTGTATTAATGGCTTCTTTTTGCATTGAACCTTTTATCATAATGAAATCTCCTTCTTTTCTCTAGTAATGTTATTTTTTTCTTGAAAGAACACCTTTCCCTTTAGTAATATGGGTATACCAGCTTTCAGTAGGTTAGTGTGTAAATGGTACACATTTTGCCAAGTTTTAATTTATTTTCAAATTTTCTAAATCATTAAATTTTGCATGTTTCTCCTTTAAGCAGCATTTGATGGAATGTTTTCTTTCCGGTCTCATAATATCATCTTTCTATTTGGAATATCCAGTCTGAAACTTTTAATGGAAATATAGATATAACCTGGTTTGTGTATACCATATTAACTGCACATTTATTTCTGCCTGTTGTGAGGCCCTTTTCCTCTCCTTTCGTTGAAATGATTTAATATTTTCTTTTAGAGGGAGAGAGGGGTGGGAAGGGGCAGTGGGAGAGGGAGAGAGAGAGAGAGAAAAAAAATGGCTTGGTCTCACACACCTGAGAACATGACCTGAGCTGAAAACAAGAGTCAGATCCTTGGGGTGCCTGGGTGTCTTAGTCAGTTAAGTCGCAACTCTTGATTTCGGCTCAGGTCATGATCTCGGGGTCATGACTTCGGGATTGTGAGATAGAGCCCCGAGTTGGGCTCTTTGCTCAGCGTGGAGTCTGCTTGAGATTATCTCCCTCTCCCTCTGCCTCCCAGTCTGCCCCTCCCTTCCCCCCTCCTCCATCTCTTTCTCTCTCTCTCTCTCTCTCAAATAAATAGATAAATAAAATCTTAGAAAAAAAAGATGGACACCTAACCGACTAAGTCACCCAGGCGCCCCTAATACATATATATTTTTAGTATTAGATTGTTACCTCATTTGGCTGGACAGTTAAACATTCTTTAGCCATTCTTGTAGCGTTTGCCCTTAAGACTATAATGTACTTTTTTTTTTTTTTTTTTGCCTTTTCATGGTCTTATGTAAATTACTTCTTTAAAGCTCTTCAGACAGAGAAGGAACTTTGGAACACGTTGATTCCACTCACACCCTCCCAATGTATTGCCATGAATTTTAATTCTATGTATATTTAAACCCCTAGAAGACATTAGCGTCCTGGTGCTATATAGTCAATACTCATTTAGACCGGCCTACATATTCACAAATGCCATTAGTCTTTCTTTCCTGCATCTTTGTGCCTCCATCTGGGATCGTGTTTCTTCTGCCTGAAGAAGAACCTTTAATATTTCTTTTAGTTTGAGACTTCTGGTCACAAATTTCCCCAGTTTTGCTACGTTAGCATCACTGTGAAATGTACATCTTTTCTTTAGGAATGTTTTTCCTTAAAGCATATTTTGTCTCCTATTAGTATTGTTATACTGACTTGATTATCCTGTTACTTTGGGAAAGTTCTCAAGCAAGATCGCTTCAAATGCCACTTCTCTACGTTTCCCTCCCCTTCATTCCGGGACTCAAATGAAGCATGTGTTAGATATGCTCACTACATCTCCCTTAATTCTCTCCCGCTCTCTTTTGGTATTCTCCATATTATGTCTCTCCAGGCTTTTCTGGATATTGTCATCAGACCTAACTTTCGCTTCTCTAATTCTTTCTTCAGGCGGGAACTCACCTTTGACCCTTGAACCATAACACCAAACTTTCAGGGTGGATTTTGTTATCCCCCTAGGGCAGAGGAAGGAACTGTGAGTTAGAGATGATAGGCAACTTGTCCCAGGTCACCCAGCCTGAAAAGGGCAGAGCAAGGGCTAACATCACAGATTAAACCCTAGGCCCAAACCCTTTCCTCTGTGCTCGTTTTCTTCTTGGCCGCAAGTGCTCCCCGCCTCTCATCTCCCAGGAAATGCAACCACAGTGAAGTTTTTCAACCTTTTTGGCACTGTGCTCTATTTCATTTTAGATGATAAAGTCAGTGATATTTCTTCATTAGCCATGATATTTCCCCAGAACCATTTGTGGTGTTGGGACCACTGATGCATTGTTCTCAATTTCAGGGCATAATGATGTAAGTAAACTCTTACAAAGAAGAACAAGATGCTGGGGTATTTACCGAAGGAGATATAACAACTGGTCTGAACAAGTCAGTTCTGGCATTCATCCTTCATCCCACCAGCAACAAGATGGAGATCCGGCAACAGATGGCACTCACATGAGCACCCGAGTGAGATAGTAAGTGACCAGTCAGCATAGCTGAAATGTACCAGCCAGTGGAATACATAGTCCTGTAGCTGAATATGTCATTCTCTTCTCCAACCTGGAAGAGTGAAGAATGATAGAATCAGGTTAATGGTTGAGCAAACTTTATTGTACCCTGGTATCAGTGGGCAAACGTGTAATGGAAGACTTTCTGAGCACGTGCGGACTACTTCCTTCTCTCCACTTCCCCACAGTGCTCCCTATGCCATTCCACCGTGTCGTCGGAGAGGCAATTTTCAGAAGCAAGACCAAACCCAAGCTAACATGAAGGGAGAGCAAAAGCCTCCAGAGAGAAGAATGGAGCGGGAGAGGCAGGATGAGACCGTGGGGAAATGGTTCAAGATCATTGTGAGTGCCCCTGCAAAATGGACCTAATAAGTAGAAGAAGGTGAACAGAGGGAATTGTGTTGGACTCATGTAGAGACGCTATGTACTTTTCTGGGGGCAGAGGAGTGGGTAATCGGTCTTTTTATTACTAGCATCATTACATATGTAGCATTACATATGTTAACATCCTAGTTAACATCCTAGATCAAGTAAGGGCAGACTCAGAGGAGCAATATAAAGGGAACAGACTGACGATAGGGAGAATCAGGTAAGTTGTCTAAGAGCAGAGGAAACTACAGCCAAGGAGATGGAGCAACTCCACACTGGAAGGCTCAGTTTAGCTCTAGCTGAGTGTGGGAGGAGGTTGTGTCTTTGGGGTCCCTGTTGGAGAAGCAGGCTAAGGCATCCTGCCCTGAGCTAGTATCACTTGGAACTTTATAAAAGGAAGTTCATATTAAACATCTTAAGTCGATTATTTGGAAAAAAAAAAAAGTGTTTGAATTGAAGGAAAAGTTATTTAGTAAATCCATGTCTGGTGCAAGAGTTTGCAAAAATGGATAATGTCCTATCATAAGAAATTATTTTAAAGCCCCCCCCTCCCAAAAAAAACGGTATGAAAGGAAGACATGGTTGGGTCTTATCTTAACCTTGGAATCCATTGTGTCAATCTTTTCTCCCATCTCTGGCTCCTAGATTCCATTTGGCATCAAATATGATGAGAAGTGGCTGCTGGATCTGATTCAGGGACAATGCAGTGTCCCCTTCACCCCAGTCGAGGTAAGAGAAAACAGCGAAGCAGATGAGAAGAAACAGGGCAGACGAGCAGTGGCTCGGGTCTCATATTCTCATATTCTCTTTCTCTTGCCATTCTCCCTATAGTTTCACTATGAGAGAATGCAGGCCCAGTTCTTTGTTGAGAATGCCAACGTTGCCTTTGCATTGAAGAGTGTCAACGGCAAGATCTGGGATGAGGCTAACGAAAGGGTACGTGTCAAGGGCGTGACTGGGACCAGTTAGGGGCAAGAGGGCAGGACAGGGGCAAGGTCTTGTGTCAGATTTCCTGGTACTTAACCCAGCCCCTCTTGTGTTCCCTACAGATCTCTATCTTTATCTACCCCTCTGATGCACCCCACTCTGTGCACAAGGAGCTGAAGTCAGAAAAGGTGGAGCAGACAAAGGTAATGCAGATTCAAGAGTAGCTGTGCATCCGCATCCAGGCCCACATCTCCTTCCCACACCTATTGCCCCCCCATCTCCACCTCAAACTCAGAGCCACTGACCCCATCTCTAACTCTGCTGCTGATAGTGAACAAATGATATGTAGTCTCCCAGCAATCTCTTAACATCCAGAGGGTCCTCTTTGCCCCTGGTATGCCTACAGCAGTAATTCTAGGGCAGGTGAGGGCAGAGGGGCCTGTCTGGGAAGGAGACTTAGGGATGGTAACGTGGGGAGGGGTTGGTGCTGGAGCTGTACCAGCCGGGCCTCTCTCAGCCTTCTGATTCCCTCCTCTCGGCTTCTCGGAGACTTGATCACCCATGATATTGAAATGGTACCAAATCCTAGAAACAGCATGGCTGCCTCCCTGCAGACCCATGAAAAGAACATGCCCAAGGTGAGGACTCAGTCCCAGTGCTGAGACTGACGCTGAAGGTGGGAGAGATTAGGTAGAAGAGGCAGGTTGGTCTCAGATATCCCCTGTTGGGGTCCTCACTCTAACTTTTTCCTCATCATAGCTTTTGCCCTCGAACCTGAGCACCAAGACACCCAGCCAGCTGGATGGCCTGTCCAACACTATGCAGAATGCCGCCAGCATCGAGAGCTTGAACCTCTCCAACAGTGAGGTGAGGTGTGGTACCCAGATCCTTCTTTGAAAGGAAGTTGGGAGTGCTCACGGGATGGTGACAAGAGTCAGGGAAGTGGATTTGTTGGAGAAGGGAAGGACTGGGGGTGCAGGGTCATCCTGGTCATCTCTCTCTGCTCCACGGGTTTCCTCCCCATAATTGTAGGTGAAGTCTGCAGGGGAGATGGACGAGGGCAAAAGTCTGCAGCCAGAAGAGATGAGTACCGATAGAAGTGCCCTGTGCACTGCCCTCCCTGATAAATCAACCAACATAAGGTCAGTTGTACACTGTGTCACCCCGTGGGACCCTGAACTATGCCTGACGGTGCCTGTTTGGAGGAGGCAGCAGCTCTGTTCCTTTGGGGGGACCAGAGGCCCTATGCTTTCTTCTCTGTGTGCCTCGCCTGTGCTTAGACATCTCCTTCCTTTCCTCTGACCTGCTCACCAGTTTGTCTGGTCTGAGGTCCGTTTGCAGGTTGTCTGCACCCAGCCTTCTCTAGTGTGCCATCCCCAAAGTGTGATCTATGAAACAGGGCTCCCCTTCCTCACTAGGACCAGAGTGACCACCTTGAGCCCGGTGCTGGTGCCCTGGACTGAGAGGGGCCCTCCAGCCCAGGGTCTCATGCTGAGACGGGCCTTTCTGCCTCCCTGCTGAGACAGGGCTTCCCTCCTTTGTTCTGAGAGGGACCCTCTTTTCCTTGAACCAAATGTATCCCCCCTCCAATTCCAGGCTGCCTTGGTGCCTTTCCTGTCCCATGCTGAGGGCCGAGGTCCTGGGGGACTGCCATCATGACATCCGTTCCTCTGACCCCCGGCCAGGAGCTGGGCCCTCCTTGGGAGAAACCAGGATTCCCTGAGTCAGGGGGCCAGAAGTGGGTGACTGCCAGTGAGCAGAGGGCTTCCTGAGGCAGGAGTGGAAGGCAGAGGGCATCCTGAGGCAGGAATGGAAGGCAGAGGGCAGAGGTGCTTGAGAGGACAGAAGGACAGGCCTCTCAGAGGCACTGTCCCCTCCCCTCCCTCCGCACGTCACATCATCCAGACTGGTCCTTCGTAGGAGCCCTGGGTTGACCGACATGGGTATAATCCCTCAGGTGAGGAACCGACTGGGACAGGCACAGGTGCACTGGGGGGTGATCATAAGAGGGAACCACAGACCCTCAGCTCCATGCTGACCTGGGGCTTGACCCTCTACTCCCCCTGGGGTAGGTCTCCTGCCCCCGTGGCTGCCTCGTTCCCCATGCCTGGCTCAGACTGAGCTCACACAGGTGACAAAGTTTCAACCAGCGTGCAATGGGCCCCCAGCCCAACACCTGCATGTTTTCCATTGCTACGTCGGATGCCAGGGTCAGCCAGGGCAGATGAAGGAAAGGACCGCAGGCAGAGAGCCATTTCCCCCTTCTCCTCTCTTCCTCCCTGACCCTCACCACCATGGTGGAGCTTCTTTCCCTTCCTTTTGTTTTGCTTTCTCTCCCTCTTTTGTCTCTACTCCCCTATGTCTCTCTCACCTTTCCCTTCCTACCTTCCACCCCTCTTCTGTCTTCATCCCCCTCCCTCTCCCCCTCTGCCTCCTGGTTCCTGCCTCACTCACCTCCTTGCCCCAGCATCCTGGCTACCCTGGGGGGGTGTCATGGTCCTGCAGCGTGCTGGACCCCTAGTGAGGTAGCAGAGCCCTGGGCTTCCACCCCATTCCCTCTTCTCTCTGGAGCCTTCGGTAGGGACCTGAAGGAAGGAAGGGAGGCAGGAAGGAGAAGGCAGCCCTGGAGCCTGGGCTCCAAACGTTGCTTCTGGTGGCCCTGGAGATGGGAGTCAGGACAGTCTAGGTGGGATCCGCCCAGGGGGAAAGAGAGGGAGGAGGGGGTGGGGTCGAGGAATGGAATCAGAGAGAGGAGGGGGAAGAGAGTGTGTGCTTTCCCTCTAGGTCCATCCACAAGGCAGGTGCCAAGGGCCCTGGAAGCCTAGGACACTGCAGTGTAGGTGGGACATACTGGGCTGTGTGTCAGGTGTAAGTGTGCTTGCTCCCATGATGAAGGACACCTGCAAAGTTTCACTGACTTTTCTGTTTTGTCTGGATTTCTGCAGCTCCATCCTGGAATTGTTTCCCAAGTTACTACGCCTGGTAGGTGTATTCCTTGATCATTGACTCCTCTGCTGGCACTGATGCTGCCCCGAACCTGCCCTGAAGCCATTTAGGTCTTGCAGAAGTTACAATTTTCATGACCCTTCAACCTCATGGAGGTCCAGATCCATGTGGGAACCCAACAAGGGCTCTAGATCGCCTTCAACCACGTTCTCCAGGGGCATCGGGGACCCCAAGACAGGGATCCCAAATGTACTCTTGCCCATGTAATTTCCAGGGCCCTTTCGCACCTGGCGTCTGACCCTCACCCTCTCCGGGGCCCATCCTTTCCCTGACTGTTCAGCACCAGCTCCTGGTCCACACTGCCCACTCCCTCTTCCTTTCCCCAGGACAGCCAGGAGTCACCTTCACCAACCAGCCTCGGTATTGCAGCCCACAAGAGGTTACCGACCTGCAAGGTGAGGAGGGCGGATCAAGCCAGGTTTTGGGTGGTGCGTGAGGAGGGGTTATCAGCCGTGGTCCTGAGGACTGTTGTGATTCCAGGGAAGCTTCTTTGGATCTGATGCACTGAAGAGTCTAGTCCTGCAATTCCTGCAGCAGTAAGTACTCCTGGGAACCTGGGGAGAGGGATGGCTGGGACGGGTGAGGCCACCCAAGCTCAGGACTGCTGACTGGGTCTTGACATCGCATTTGGGGTCCACACCACAGAGATAGACTGTCATTGCCCTCCCACAGGTACTACTCGATCTACGACTCTGGAGACCGTCAGGGTCTCCTCGGTGCCTACCACGATGAGGCCTGCTTCTCCCTGGCCATTCCCTTCAACCCTGAGGAGTCAGCCCCGTGAGTAGCAAAGCTCCAACTCTGCTCCTGGGCCCTGTGGCTCCGCAGTGGATACAGGGCAGCTCCTGGAAACACCCACACTGGCCAGACCACCACCTCCTGTTCCTCTTTCTCTCCTAGAAGCAGCCTGTGCAAATACTTCAAGGAAAGCAGGAATATGAAGAAGCTCAAGGACCCCTGTGCGTGTGTGATGGGGAAGACTGGGCAGGGAAAGGGGTGTGAAGTGATCATTATAGGGCCTAGGGTGTGGCAACCCCTGACCTTTGCTTGTTTCTCCTCCCCCACCCCCATAGCCCTGCGTGTTCAGCGGCAGAAGCATACAAAACGTGACATCGTGCGCTCCCTCTGTGTGCTGCCCCAAACTCAGCATGACCTCAGCTCCTTCATGGTGGACATGTGGTTCCAGACGGTGAGCACC